CCTCTCGTATGGAAGTTGTTGTGGGGGTCATATACATCCGAGGCGAAGTTGTTCTTCTCCCGGGTGTCGTCGTTGTCATCGTCGCCGTCGTTTTGAGGTCCAAAAACGGTGCGGTGACAGACCGTGCGGTGACCTCGAAATCCCCCAAGACCTCACCGCACGGTCCGTCAACGCACGGTTTTGGGACCTCGGATGCCCCTGTCGCCCGAGACATCCTCAGAGAACGACCCGAGTCCCAAAACCGTGCGGTGACCCCGAATCCCCACCGACTCACCGCACGGTGTGGTCACCATCCCGTTTGGGGGCCCCCAAGTCGTCGTCGTCGTTGTCGTCGTCTTCTTCGTCGTCCTTGCCGTTGTCTTTGTCGTCGTCGTCGTCGACTACAGCGGCGGGCCTGCGCAGCACCCCCGCCCCCCCCCCCATCGGGCATCCGCAGTGCTTCGTCGTCGTCGTCAAGCGCCGTCGCCGTCTGCCGACCGCCGTCCGTCGTCTTCGTCCTCGTCCCATCGTCGTCGTCAACATCGTCGTCGTCGGCGTCGACGACCTAGTGAGACCACGACAGAAGGGGGTAGCAGGACGGCCCGCCTTCTTCGGGTCGGGGAAGGAAAAGAGGGTTGCGAAACCTGCTGCGCGCAGCTGGTTCCCGTCGCACCGCCGATGGGGCCAGTCCTCGATGCATGGCCGCTTTCGGCGCCACGGGGCGCTCGGAAAATCAACAATGCAAGCTGCTGGGCAAATCCCCTCTTGGCCACGCCCCCCTTTCGTCCAGCCCGCCTGCTCGCGGGCACGCGAGGCAGCTGCCCCCCCCCCCCTGGATGCGGCCAGATCAAAAAAAACGCATCGGTTCGACAGAGAGAGAGAGAGAGAAAACAAAAACAAAAAAAAAACACGGAAAGTGCGGGAACGAGCGCCGACAATAGTTCGTCTTCCTTCCGAACAGGTGTCGCTTTGGGTCACGGTCCCTGCTTCTGCCGCCTTTGCCTCTCGCCCCCCAGCCCTCCCCTCAGTCTGTGCTGTCTGTCGCCTTCTCGTGGGCGGCCGGGCGTTGGCTCTTTTCACCAGGGCCGCCCTGTTGATTTTCAATCGGGCGGGCGCCACCCCGCAATTCGCCCGAACAGGTTAACTATTTGTTTAAACGCGCGCGCGCCCCCACGGATTTGTTAATCACAGCTGATATTACTGCAACAGCATGGAGCGTTATAGGAAATAGAGCGCCGATTTAACGGTGTGAAAATATAACCAGGCTGGCGCAACAAAGTAAAACACACGAAACATTTTGGGAAACAAAAGGGCCCCAAAAGCATAGAGCGTGTGCCAGCTAGGCGGTCAGCGAGGAGGGGGGGACAGCGAAATTGCTCCGATTGGCACTGCGGCAAACAGTAAAGCGATCTAAGGAACAAATCGTGGTTAGTCTGTGATTCAAACTGTGGGAATGATGCCCCCTAAGTGGTTTGCTGGGGCTGGGTCGGGTGTGGCTGGCCTAGTGATGGTTACTGCAACCCGTACCAGTTTCTGGCAGTGCGAACGGGTAAAACTCGCTGGTGCCGCCTCCCTCCCCCCACTGTACCCCATTCGGCGTGCTACGACGGAGGTAGGCTGTGCTGGCTGGCTTGTAGGTGACTGCGACATGCAAATTTCAAGGCGACATAGAAGCGTTGAGGTGCGAGGAGGGAGGTAACGCACTACGGCGGCCCACAGTAGGGCAGAGCCCCTTTTCCGCCGTGGGCCCAAGCTGCCAGAGTGCATTTCCCCATCAACCACCCGTCCGAGGAACGCTGATACCCCTTCTCATCCCGAATCATGAGTGCAGCCTATAGTCGCGAAGTCTGCCTGGTCTGTATGGATGAGGCTGGTTGTTTCAATTTGATCGCGGGCTTTAATATGGCATGCCCCTCGAGCCTCGGGAGTATTATAGACAGGCGAGGTAGTTGTGTGTATGCTGGCACAGGCTTTGTTGGCTGGCTTATGGCAGTAGAACCAAGCGCGAGTGTGAGCAGAGCACTGGCAGCTGTGAGTAGGCTGTGCTAGAACCGCTGAGGTGCGAGGTGGAGGTGATGAAGTACGGCGGCCCCCAGTTGGGCGGAAACCCCTCCGCCGAAGGCCAAACTGGCAAGAGTTCGGTTCCCCCCAATCCCCCTACTTAACCGGTCCTACAAATCCCTTCCCTACTCCTCCTCCTCCTCCTCCTCCTCCTCCTCCTCCTCCTCCTCCTCCTCCTCCTCCTCCTCCTCCTCCTCCTCCTCCTCCTCCTCCTCCTCCTCCTCCCCCCGGCCCATTATCTTGCTGGTCACCCCCCCACTTGGCGATGCCTCTTCGCCGCCCCCTCCGCGCCCCCACCTGGGGAGCGCGCGGCCACCGCCGGGTGCTTCAGGCCCCTGACCGTCTCGTACCCTGACCCACCAAGCCTGTCCCAGTAATTGCCCGCCCTGCGCCCCGCTGCCGCCGGGCCCCGGCGCAGCGGCCACCGCAGACCTTGCCGGCGGGGTTGGCCGAGCCACGTGCTTTTGGGTGTGACCCGTCCCCCTGAGCGGCCCTCGCCCGTCCTCCCCCCCTTCGGCCGCCCACCCTGTTTTTTCCTTTGTCTTGCATTGTAGCACAATTCGTTCCAACTGTGTCTCGTTTACAGAGCTCCTCCGCCAGCGCAGTTACTCAGCGTAGCCGCCGACGCTTTTATGTATTCAAAATGTTGGAGTAATGTTTCTGTGCGTCCTGGAAGGGGGGTATCCTTGGATGTCCTGCTTGTGCTCTGGTCGATGGAGGGCCTCATGTTGTTGAAGGGGGCTCTTCTGGCTTGGGTCCGACTGCGCAGTGGGGGCCCATGCCCAAAAAAAACACCCTGTCTGCCTCCAGGGTGCCATGTGCTTCTCTGGTTTCGATGGTTTTACCCTGGAAATCGCGACGCTCCCACCGAACATCGATGGACGCCCTGGGGTCTCAGGGCTGGGCTTCTTGTGCAAAGTTCCTTGTGGTCGGGCCCCCACTGTAGTCATAGAGCACCTTGTCTTTGTGGTGGGAGGCCGTCGTCCTCGCTCTCCCCCTCCCCGCGCGTTCGGGTGGAGGCATGGTCCAGCCTGGCGTGCGACGAGCGCCTGGCGCGACACCTCGGCAGGCCCGGCGCCCCCCCCGGCCCGCCGCGGGTTCGTCGCCTTGTGCAGCCGTGTGTGCGGGCGTGGTCACGGTCGCGGCGCCTTGTCCTGGGAGGAGGAGGGTTTCCTATTTCCTCCTTCCCCTACTCTTCCAAGTCCTCCTCGAGGTCCTCCTCCTTCCTCCTTCCTCTTCCTCCTCCTTTTCCTCCTTCTCCTCCTCCTCCTCCTCCTTATTGTTCCTCCTCCTCGTTTTCCTGTCCCCCCCCTTCCTCCTCCTCCTCCTCCTCCTCCTCCTCCTCCTCCCTCCTCCCCCTCCCCCCTCCTCCTCCTCCCTCCTCCTCCCTTTCCTCCTCCTCCTCCTCCTCCTCTCCTCCTCCTCCTGCTCCTCCTCCCCTCCTCCTCCCCCTCTCCTCCTCCTCTTCCTCCTCCTCCTGCTCCTCCTCCTCCTCCTCCTCCCACTCCTTCTCCCCTTGCCCCTCTGCCCCCTCTTTTTCAAATTCCTCCTGTGCTGCCTTTCTCCACCCTTTCCTTTGCCCCCTCCTACTCCTGCCTTCCTCCACCCTTTTCCTTTTCCGCCAATTCCTCCTCCTGCCTCCATCCTTCCTTCCCTCCCTCCTCGTCGTCGTCCTCCTCTTCCTTTTTTTTTCCTGTGCCTCCTCCTCCTCCTCCTCCTCCTCCTCCTCCTCCTCGTCCTCTTCGTCCTTCTCCTCCTCAAGCGCAGGGGGATCCGCAAAATCAGGACTTGCATCTATTCCTGAACTGGCTGTCTCGTTTACCCCAGCACCACCAGAGGCGGTGTACCACCGTGGGGAAGGTGGCCGCGAGTGGGCCGGCGTCAATCACTCGATCTATCCCAGCGCATCTCTTCGTCTTGATGCACCTTTGGGAACGATTTTCACCGTCGTTTGGCATATGCTCCGGCATGCTATTATTCCTCCTCCTCCTCCTCCTTCTCGTCCTCCTTCTCCTCCTCCTCCTCCGCCTCCTCCTCCTCTTCCTCCTCCTCATCCTCCCCCTCCTCCTTTCCTTCCTCCTCCTATGAGGAGGAGGGACGAACACGTCCTGGCTGGCCTATACTCTGTGCCCGTGCGGGCCCGCTGTCCTCGTCTTTGTTTCTTGCGTTCGTCTCGTATGTGCTACGCCCGCCAGGCGTGGTCGGCACCCATGTTTCCAACACCGACGCTACAGCCTCGACGTTCACGTGCGCCCAACATAAAGAGGGAAGGACAAACAGGGAGGGAGGAGAAGAGAGAGGTTGGGAGGAGGGAGGAGGTGGGATGATGGAGTTGGTGGGTGGTTTGGAGGGATATGAAGAGAAGGGAGGAGGAAGGAGGACACGAAGGGATGGATTGGGGAGGAGGAGGAGGAGGAGGAGGAGGAGGAGGAGGAGGAGGAGGAGGAGGAGGAGGAGAAGGAGGAGGAGGGAGAGGAGGAGGAGGAGGGGGAGGGAGGATAGAGGAGGAGGACAGACGATGGAGGACGGAAGCTGGAGAAGGTGGGAGGATGGATAAGGAGGAGCAGGAGCAAAAGTCGGGGGGGATGAGGAGGAGGAAGCGGGGGAGGAGGATGAGGAGGCGAAAGGAAGGATGTTGATAATGATGATGAAGAGGGGGAGGAGGGGAAAAGGGAGGAGGAATTGGAGGAACAGGGGCGAGGGGAAGAGGAAAAAGTGGAGGAGGATGAGGAGGATACATACAAGGTTTGTTGCCGTCGCGCCACACTTGACATCCCTTCAACGTGCTCGTTGCTCCTATATCCGCCGACGGGTGTCCTAGCAGACATGGGAATCCGGTGTAGTATTAGATGACCCATTCGTGCTTTGCACGGTCAGCAAATTGGAGTTCTGCACGACGGGGAGGACGTGGAGGAGGAGGAGGAGGATGAAGAGGGAGGAGGAAGGAGGAGGAAGGAGGATGAGGAGGAAGAGGAAGAATATGGAGGAGGAAGGAAGAGACAGAGGAACGGCAGGAGCAGAGCAGGATGACCACAGGACGGCGTGGGAGCGAAACGGAGGGGCCGACAGCGACCAGGAATGATTGTCATCCAGACGTGCGCGTTGCGGACCAGGACTATTATGATGTTGGTCATGCTGAAGTCGAGGGTGATGATGACGCTGCGGATGATGAAGACGATAGTGATGATGGTGGTGACAGTGAGGATGATGATGAGGATTAAACTGAGTATGGGGATGTTGGTGATGTCGATCGCGATGGAGTTTTTTGGCTGGGGATTGGTGGTGATGGCGGTTGTGGCGGTAACGATGATACGGATGGGAACGCCGTGGGCGGCGACGAAGACGATGACGTTGCTGAGGGGGCGGAAGAGGAGGAGGAGGAGGAGGAGGAGGAGGAGGAGGAGGAGGAGGAGGAGGAGGAGGAGAAAAAGAGGAGCAGGAGGAGGAAGAGAAGACGGCGAGGAGGTGGAGGAGGAGCAGGAGGAGGGAGGCGGAGGGAGGAGGAGGAAAAATAATGGGCAGCAAGAGGGCGAGCAGTCGGAGCCCGCGCCGCCCGGGCCAGGCTCCAGGCGGAGGCCGACGAGCTGCGTGGGGAGGCCGCGCTGGCGGACGGGCGGGGCGAGAGGCGCCCGCCGCCGCCTCTCGCCGCGGCCGCGGGCCGTGGCCCGCTCGCCGCCGCGGCCGCGGTCGTCCTCGAACTGCTCGACGCCCCTCCCGAGGAGGAGGAGGGGGAGGAGGAGGAGGAGGAGGAGGAGGAGGAGGAGGAGGAGGAGGAGGAGGAGGAGGAGGGAGGAGAGGAGGAGGAGGAGAGGAGGAGGAGGAGGAGGAGGAGGAGGAGGAGGAGGAGGAGGACGAGGACGAGGACGGACGAGGCGAGGAGGGCGAGGGCGAGGAGGACGAGGAGGAGGAGGAGGAGGAGGAGGAGGAGGAGGAGGAGGAGGAGGGGGAGGAGGAGGAGGAGGAGGAGGGGGAGGGGGAGGAGGGGGGGGGTCGTCGAACTGCACGACGTCCCTCGAAGAAGAACAAGAAGGCATACTCATAAACTTTTGGCACTCCGAGCGGATTTCTTGGATCGGCGCTAGTGTTGGCCCCTTGCGGCGCCTCCGGCGCTGCCCCTGGCGCGGGGGGGTCCAGCGCAGATCCAAGAATTCCGCGCGGAGCGCAAACAACATTATGCTTAAGCTATTGTTCCTTCATCAACTCTTCTACATGTGTTCTGCTGATCTCGTCCCAGGGCCACCGCGCGAACGTGAAGTTCATCGCGCTTCGCGCTCTGGGTGTTTTCACAGCGAGGCACGAGTCCGTCGTGCTGTTCTGGGGAGGGGGGGGGGGGCGGCGCGAGAGCGCGACTACAGTCCCCCTTCGCGGAGCGCTAGGCGCGAAGATCGTCTCCTAGTTGTTCCAGTCTCGGGATGCTTCCCAGCGGCTGCCTTTGCCGAGAGCGCTCCAGGCGTGCCCGGATCGCCCCGAGCGGTCGCAGGAGACCCGAGGCATGACCCGAAGAATTCCCGGCTATGTGTAGGAGAGTGGCCCCTCGCCGGAGTCCTGGCATCGCTCGGACGTGTGCATGGTTCCTTCGGCGAGGACCATCGAGGAGCATCCTTGATCATTTGGCGAAAAAAATCCACGCACGAAACCGGAACAAAAAACACAGGGAGTGGACGTCCGAGCGATGGCCAGTGAGTTATCTTTGGTGCAGGCACACTGGGGTCCCGAGATGGCTGGACGCCGTGCGATGGCAGCAGCTTGCGCACTGCGGTTCGGCCCCCCCGCGGCCCATAAGGGTCGCGCTGACGCGTAGCCCAAACTGGGCGGTGCCCTCGTCTTCGCTCGTGTGCAACGAGAAGGGCGAGGGCGAGTGGAGCAATAAAGGTTCGTTGTTCTTCGGGGGCCACCTCGTAACCGCCGCTGGACGCACCAGTCATGCTCCGGTGCTTGAACTCTCGATATGTTCCCACCTCATACTTTCGACTGATTGCCACTCGCTCCAGAGCTTTAGTTGTCTTGTTTTTTACTTCTGGGCGCAGCCTAATACTTGTCTGGTCGCTGGCTTCGCCAGCTTGCTGACATCATTGGTGGCCCTGTCCGCATTTGCGTGCTGCGCCTTAATTCTCTCTGTCAAAATGCGTTGCGCGGAGTGACGATGTGGTTCTCGGGAGGGGTCATGGGACCGATTTTGGTTGTCCGCTATTTGACCGTGGGCGTGATCATGGTGGTGGTGGTGGTGGTGCTGGTTGTAACGATGATGCTGATGTGAATGCCGCTGGTATCGGCGAAGACGATGGTGACTATGCTGATGATGATGGTGATGATGATGAGGAGGAGACGCAGGAGGAGGAGGAGAGGGAGTGGATGAGGAGGAAGTGCAGGAATTACATTCGTCGCGTAGCGAACATTCATCGGAAAACATCGCACAAGAGCAGGGGACGCTCGAGTGCGCGGTCACATCGTTCACCTATGATTGAGATCGGTCGGGCGCGATGACAGCCCCAAGAAGTGCCTCCGAGAGGCCAGGAAAATGCCGTTGTATGGACACTTAGCTGCAATGAAGGGAGCTCAATGAGGCACTAGCGCACAGCGATCAACGTACAACCCGACAGCAAAGCGGATCGCCCACTCCACAGACAGTTTCGTTCCGCAACGACAAAACAAAGAGTTGAGCGTTCACCCTTGAGCAACGCAAGGCCGCAGGCGAGCCCCTCCGCACGGCTCATTCAGACAACGACACCCACCCCCCAGGTGCCGACCCAAGGCTCCGCCTGCCTCTGCAGGTCGGGACCCTGGAACTCCCTCGGCCGCACGGGCGGGTCACCCGGCGCGAGACTTAGTGGAGCCCAGAACCACCCCCACAGGTCCCCTCGCCCAAGGGGGACCAGGTGGCGCGCATCCGTGGGCCTCCCCCGGCCACTCTGTGTGGTGCGAGGTGGCCCGGGTGCCGAGACTGAGCCTAGGGCGGACAGGACCCCAGGCGTACAGTCGGGGCGCTGAAGAAGGAACTCTTTTCGTTGGGTAGGGGCTCCGTGTTCCTTAATACTTTCACCGTTTGCCCCGCGTTTCCCCTAGGTTTTCGAAGGGAAGTCGAAGCTCAAGTTCTGGAGAAAAGGGGCCTCGTTCCTCATTTAGGGTTCCTTAGGTCAGCGCCCCGACGGCTCGGCGAGCAGCACCCTCCACCCGCCAGTGGGTGGTTCTCCGCGGCAGGTCAGGCCGTGCCCTGAGGGTCACGCTGCCCCCCTCGTGGTGGTGGTGGTGGTGGTGGTCGGCGGCGTCGCCGTGGCCGTGGTCTTCGCCGTCGCCGTCGGGCGGCGCGGGCGCGCCTCGCCCGCTCGGGGCCTGTTTGTTTCTCTGCTTTGCCGTGGCTCGCCTCGGCCGATCCCTGATCCTCCCCTCCTCCTCCTCCTCCATCTCCTCCTCCCCCTCCTCGTCGTCCTCCTCCTCCTCTCCTCCTCCTCCTCTTCCTCCTCCTCCTCCTCCCCCTCCCCCTCCTCCTCCTCCTCCCCCTCCTCCCCCTCCTCTCCCTCCTCCTCCTCCTCCTCCTCCTCCTCCTCCTCAGCCCCACCTGGAACGGCGATGCAGGTTTTTCGGTAGTGTGGGAGCGCGTGGCTCGCGCGCTCGTGCAATTCCCTGCGCCGTGTCCGCTCGATCGTTTTCAGATTCGACATGTGGGAAAGTTTGGCTCGTGGCTTCATACAAAACGTTCCCCTACATCACCGTAAGGCAGCATCGCCTTTTTGGTACCCCTACCTCTACTCTAGCCCCGTTATCCCCCTTTTGAGGGCCTCCTATCAGGCCCTCGATCGTTTTCAGATTAGGCACGTGGGAAAGTTTGGCTCGTGGTTTCCTACAGTGTGTTTGCCTACATCACCGTAAGGCAGCATCGCCTTTTTGGTACCCATGCCTCTACTCTATCCTCGTTTTCCCCCTCTTGAGGGCCTCCCGTCGGGCCCTCGTCGCCGCCGTCGGATTCGGCTCGGAATTCTGGTCAGAACGCACCCCAGGAGAGGTCCGGGGACTAGTGTCGGTACGGTAGGTTTGCGTCGTGTCGACCAGCGGCGACCCCTGCGCGGGCGTTCAAGGTTGAACGCCGCCGGCGACCCGGAATCGATCGATGTTGAACGATCGGACGTTGCGGCAGCGGCCGATCGTTCAAGGTTGAACGATCCCTGCGGTGTCAAAAACCAACGCTGGGGTCGGCACGACACGGACCTGCCGTAGAAGTGCCCCTGGCCCAAGGTACCCCCAGCAGTCCGCTCGATTCTGGAGCCCCTGGGGCCTTCTGAGCCTCTTGAGGGTTGCTCTGGAGGCCGTGGGGGGCTCCTTCGAAATCCTGGGGACACCTTGGGCCGGGGGGCACTTCTAGCAGCACCCGAACAGGGGGGATATCCCCCAAAAAGCACAAAACAAAACAATAGGAGGGGGACTCTTATTTGAGCATGCTTGGGCCATTTGGGAGCATGTTTGGGGTACTTTCTCATCTTTCGCCGAAAATCCTCCCTGTAGGGGGACACGCGCGAGTGGCGGCCGATCGTTCAAGGTTGAACGATCCCTGCGGTGTCAAAAACCAACGCTGGGGTCGGCACGACACGAACCTGCCGTACCTTTGGTCTCCCAAGACCCCCCCCCCCCTGTCGGTGAAGCTCCAGGTGGCACGGCGGCCTCCCCCTCCCTTGGGGTAGCAAGTCGTGGAAACAGCGTGTTCTCTGCCGCTGCTGGCGGGAAACGGGGGGGGGGGTCACTGGGGGTTCCCAACCCGTCCCCCCCCCCCCCTCGAAAACCGGGGGGGGGGGGACGGTGGTGGTGGGGACAGTGGTGAAGGGGACAGCGGGACAGTGGTGGGGACAATGGGACAATGGTGGGGACGGTAGTGGTGGGGATGAAGGCGGTGGTGAGGACAGTGGTGGCACAGTAGTGCAGTGGGGAGAGTGGTGGGGACAGTGGGACAGTGGTGGGGACAGTGGGGACGGTGGGACAGCACAGTGGGACAGCGGCGGGGACAGTGTGACAGTGGTGGGTACAGTGGGGACAGTGGGACAGTGGTGGGGACCGCGGGGAAAGTGGGGACAGTGTGACCGTGGTGGGACAATTGCGGGGAGAGTGGGGACAGTGAGACAGTGGTGGGGGCACTGGTGGGGACAGCGGGGACAATGGTGGGAACAGTGGGGACAGTGGGACAGTGGTGGGGATTGTGGGACAGTGGTGGGGACGGTGGTGGTGGGGACAGTGGTGTGGGCACAGTGGGAATGTGGTGGAGACAGTGGGACAGTGGTGGGGACAGTGGTGGTGGGGACTGTGGTGAGGGCGGTGGCGAGGATGGCGGTGGGACAATGGGACAGAGGCGCAGTGGGGACAGTGGTGGGGGCAGTGGTGGGAACAGTGGGACAGCTCAGTGGGACAGCGGCGGGGACAGTGGGACAGTGGGGACAGTGGGATAGTGATTGGGGCCGTGGGGAAAGCGGGGAGAGTGGGACCGTGGTGGGCACAGTGGTAGGAGCAGAAGAAAGAGTGCAACAGTGGTGGGGGCACTGGTGGGGACAGTGGACACGGTGGTGGGAACAGTGGGGACAGCGGTGGTGAGGACAGTGGTGCTGGGGACAGCAGGTGGGGGATGTGGTGCGGACGGTGGTAGGGACCCCGGAGTCGTTTGCCGGCCGGAAGCGTGGGCGGGGGGAGGGGCTCGAAACCGGTATCCCCCCCTCGGTTTTTTGAAGGGGGGGGGGAGGGTTCGAACCAGTAGTGACCCCCCCCCGGGTTTCTGGGGGGGGGGGTTCGAACCAGTAGTGCCCCGTGGTTTTCTGGGGGGGGGGGTTCGAACCGGCAGTGCCCCCCCCCCGGTTTTCCGGAGGGGGGGGGAGGGGAGAGGGGGGGGGGGTCGAACCCGTAGTTATCCCCCGAATTTTCTGAGGGGGGGGGGGTTCGAACCGGCAGGACCCCCCCTGGTTTTCCGGAAGGGGGGGGAGGGGTTAGGGAGGCGGGGGAAGTTTTGCTGGGGGGAAGGGGGGGATGGGCGGGGGGTTCCAGCAGGAGGGGGAGGGTTTCGGAAGGGGGGGGGAGACCCCCGGGCTACGGAGAAAGAGGGGGGGAATTTTCCGAAGTAAAGCCGCGGTGGATCACGTTCTCTCAAATCGTGGGAGCCTTGTGTACCCTCGCAGTGGTGTCTTTCGCGTCGATTGGCGATTGGGAGGCGATGAGATGGCGCCGATTTAGCGTCGGCCAGCGTCGATGAGCGTCGGATTAGCGTCGATGAGCGTCGACGAGCGCCGATTCGCAAGAGCCGACAAGATGGCACGGGAGGCTCCCATGAGTTGCCGCCGAGCTAATCCTCCCCCCCTGCCGGTGAAGCTCAGGCGGAAGGACGGCCCCCGCGACGACGCGGCCCTGTCGGCCTCCCAGGCGCTCGTGGCGCGCCTGCAGGCGGGCCCCCGTCCCGTGCACGAGTCGTCGCCGGCGGCAGGCAGTGTCGTCAGCGTCGTCGTCGTCCTCGTCGTCGTCGTCGCCGTAAGCGCCGTCGTCGTCGTCTTCGTCGTCTTCGTCGTCTTCGTCGTCGGCGGCGGCGTCGTCGTCGGCGCCGTCCGGCGTCGGCGTCGGTGTCGCCATTGTCGGTGGCGGCGTCGTTCTCGTCGTCGTTGTCGGAACAGGAGGATCGAGGAGGAGGAGGAGGAGGAGGAGGAGGAGGAGGAGGAGGAGGAGGAGGAGGAGGGGTGGTGCATCACCACGCCGAGGTTGAGCAGGGTGCGGGCAGGGTGAACAACGACATGAGCAAGGGAGGCGGGGGCCTTCGGAGAAGGTGCCGCCATGTACATTCGTACTAACATCCAGGTACAAAGACATTGGCGTGGAGGGCGAGTGACGTATCCAGTTTCGCGGGTGCTCGTTCGTAGCAGGGTAGCTGCGATTTCCGCCCGAGACATACTGTTTAGGCTGGACGTACAGCGGAGGCCCACGCCAAGAAACACCCTGCTTGCTTCCAGGGAGCCCTGGGCTTTTGGGTCTCGATGGCTTTGCTGCAGAAGGCGTGACGCTGCCACACCAAAAATCCACGGACGTCCTGGGGTCTCAGGGTTGGGTCTCTCGTGGGAGGCCTCTCGTGGTCGGGTCCCGACTGTACGCGTAAGCCGAAGGTCCCAGGCCTCCGGGAGCCGAGCGCGAGCGTCCTCGTGCGCCGTGCCGTGGTTTGCGTGAGCAGGTGCTGTAGGCACGCTGCAGGCCGTCGTTCCCTCTTGTTCTACAGCCAACCTGCACAGGAAGGACGGGCAAGCTTCCCAAGGGTACCCTTGCATCCTTGCCTCCTAGGTTCAGCCTTGACCACTTTCGTTGGCCGCGGCCCGCTCGAAAAGCCCGAACATGGCCTTCCAAGGCCCTTGCCTCCTTATGACGCATCCTTACTATACTGGTTGACTGTACTCCAGGTTTCTTGCTAAGCGTGGGGGGGTCCCCCCCCCCCAACAGGGATCCACCTCGCCTCGTCGCCGCGCCGCGACGTGGTTCGGAGCGCCTTCGGCGCGCGGCGGCTGCCCGCGACGGGGGTCGAGGTAGGGCTGTCGGCGGGGGTGACGCCGCCCCCGACGCCTATGAACAAGGGCTCCCACGAGGGCACGAAGTTATTCGCGCTTCACGGTCCTCGTTCCCTCGCCCCCTCCTCCTCGTCCTCCTTTTCTCCCTTTGGGGGGGCGGCGCGAGAGCGCGAAGTTATTCTCAGAGGTCGAGGTGTACAAGTCAGGGGCAACGATAGGGGGGGATTAGGGGAATGAAAAGTGACACAAACATAAAAACTCGGAGGTCCGCGCGGATTTCTCGGATCGGAGCTGGGGCCCCCCGGCGGCGCCTCCGGCGCCGCCCCTGGCGCGCTCCGCGCGCCAGGGAGGGGGGTCCGCGCGCCAGGGAGGGGAGGGGGTCCATCCGCCCCTATGCCAGTCCCCCCCTATCGTTGCCCCTCAGCAAGTGCACTGCGCAAGTAACACACCAATCCCTGCACAGCACTGGCGGGTACGAGCACAGCAGTGGTGTCGTGAGGGCAGGCCTTCCTCGTGCTCCTCATCGTCGCCCCCTCGTCCTCCTCGGCAGTCTCCTCCTCGTCGTCCTTCCCGTCGTGCTCGCTTTCGTCCTTTCTCATCCTCCGTCCCTTCCTCGTGTTCCCCGTCCTCGCGATCCTTTCCTCTTCACTTTCCTGTTTCTTGTCCCCGCCGTTTTCCTCCTGCTCCTCCGTCCTTGTCACTCCACGTCCTCGTCCTGCTCGTCATCCTTGTCTTTCTCGTTCTCGTCCTCGTCCTCCTGTTCGTCCTCCCCTCCCTGTCCCTCTTTCTCGTCCTCCTTGTTATTCTCCCCACTATCCTCGCCTCCCTCCCCACCGCATTCTTCATCCTTCCTGGTCATCGACGCCCTCTCTTCCGCCCTCGTCGCCCCCGTCCTCTGCCCTCGTATCGCCCTCGCCTCCCCCGACCTTCTCCCCACTGCCGCGCACCAGCCGCGTCTCCAGCCACACCCGCCGCGTCTGCCGGGCACCGCTGCGAGGCCGCCGCCAGGCAGGAACAGCTGCCGGCATCGGCCGAACCGAGGCGGCAAGTGCACGACAACACAAGCGTGGTCGTCATCAGCCACCGGAAGCTCCGAGTTGTTGTCACCATCCGCAAGTCCAGGCGTTGCCAGGGACGCGGTTCCCCCCACAGTGGCCGACACCCCCTTGGCATCGCTCGGACGTGTACGTTTTTTCCTCGGCGAGGACCATCGAGGAGCATCCTCGACCATTTGGGGAAAAAAGCACGCACGAAACCGGAAAAAAACATAGGGGAATGGACGTCCGAGCGATGGCCAGCCCCTCTGAAACCGTCCTGGAACCTTCCAGACAGCTTCCCGCAACCCTTAAGGGGGAGGGTGGTCGGGGGGTTCTTGGAAGGCTTCGATCGCTCTGGGGGAAGATCGGACCCTGGCGATCCGTGGGTGTTCTGCGCACGCCTCATATTTTCGAGGCGACGACCTCGCCGCCGTGCCCCCATGTCGAAGAAGACAAAACTGTATAAACATAAACTTTTGGCGCCCCGCGCGGATTTCTTGGATCCGGGCTGGGCCCCCCCCCCCCGCGACGCCTCCGGCGATGCCGCTGGCGTAGATCCAGTCCTGCGCAGATCCAGCGCAGATCTTGGCGCCAGGGAGGGGGGTCCGGCGCAGATCCAAGAAATCTGCGGGGAGCGCCGACAGTTTATGTTTGTGTTATTTCTTCTTCTCCTGATGATGGAGGAATCACCGAGCGCGTTCTACTACTCGCAAAGTGCCTACTCGCAAACGTCTGAAAACAGATGCTCGACTCGATGAAACATATCGCAGATCCCCCGCGGCGGATCCAGGTCATTTGCGAGTGTAGTCACTTTCTGCGAGCAGTGGAGCGCGCTCGTCCAAGGAAGCCGGTGCCGCTGTCGCTGCAAAAAAAGGCAGTGAAGGATGTCCTCCCAGTTTGGGCCTGGGCCCGTCGAGCGCGGCGTGCAGGTCGGTGGCCAGCCCGGCCCGTCCCTCCACGTCGGCGACCCACTTCTCGTGGAGGGTTCCTCCGAAGGGCTTAGGCGACCCGTCCTCCTCCTCCTCCTCCTCCTGCTCCTCCTCCTCCTTCCTCCTCCTCCTCCTTCCTCCTCCTCCTCCTTCCTCCTCCTCCTCCTCCTCCCCCTCCTCCTCCCCCCTCCTCCTCCCTCCTCCTCCTCCCTCCTCCCTCCTCCTCCTCCCCCATCTCCTCCCCCTCCACCACCTCCTCCTCGGGTCGCCTACGGCCCGGGGGGGGAACCGTGCAACCTCGTGCGCGTGCTGTATGCAACGCCCAAGCTCGAAGAACTGTTCGTCGCGGCGGCTCGGGCCCAGGACGCGGTCGGGGCAGTCGAGGGGCGCTGCGGGCCCCCGGTTCGGCATGGCAGGAGCAGGAGAGGGGCGCGCAGGGGGGCGAGGAAGCCGCGGGCAGAAGAGCACGCTCAGACCTTGAAGTTCTTGTGCGTGAGTGCTGGAGCACAGGCTTGCATGACCAGCAAGCAGCGGCACAGCCGTACAACTGTAGGAGCGCACAGCGTCTGCGACCCACCTCCCTGCGCGTGCCGTATTCCACGCCAGGGCTGGGCCTGAGTGCCGTTTTTGCCGGGCTTCGGCCGTGTTTTGTTGTTCGTTCTGGCAGGGAGGCGCAGGAAGACAGGTGGAGCACCGCCATGCGGCGACGACGACGACGACGACGTCCTCCTCCTCCGCCGCCGCCGCCGCCGCCGCCAGCGCCAGCACCACCCACCGCGTGCAGCGCTGCCGCGGCCACCGTCGGCTCGGGCTCGGAGCTCGGGCGCGGAGCTCGGGCGCGGGCGCTCGGGGGCTCCGGCTTGGGGGCCGGGGCTCGGCGCTCGGGCTCGGGGCGCCCGAGGACAGGCGACCCAGCAGGGCCGCTGCGGCCACCGCGGCCTTGCGCCTCCTCCGCGGCGCCGCGGCAGCGTCCCGCGCGCGAAGGTGTGCGGGACGCGCGGCGCCTCGGAGCGCGGCCGCGCGCGTGGCCGTGGCGCCGAGGCCGAGGCAGTGGCAGGCCACGGCGGACAGTGCAGGGGCGAAGGCCTTGAAGCCTCCCTTGCTCAGGGAGGAGGAGGAGGATGAGGAGGAGGAGGAGGAGAAGGAGGAGGAGGAGGAGGAGGAGGGGAAGAGGGAGAGGGGGGGAGAGGAGGGAGGGAGGGAGGGAGGGAGGGATGGAGGGAGGAGGGAGGGAGGGAGGGGGGAGGAGGAGGAGGTTAGGAGGAGGAGGGGGAGGAGGGGGAGGAGGAGGAGGAGGAGGAGGAGGAGGAGGAGGAGAGGAGGGGAAGGAGGAGGGAGGAGGAGGAGGGAGGAGGGAGGAGGAGGAGGAGGAGAGGAGGAGGAGGAGGAGGAGGAGGAGGAGGAGGATGAGGAGGAGGAGGAGGAGGAGGAGGAGGAGGAGGGGGAGTAGGAGGAGGAGGAGGAGGAGGAGGAGGAGGAGCAGGGAGAGCCAGCCGCCGGCACCGTCACGGCCACCGCGCGCGCCGCCACCGCCCGGGGCTCAGACCCGCGGGCTCCTCCGCCCGAGCCCAAGGGTGTTCCAGCTTGAAGCTCGCTGAGGGGCAGCGAACGCGATCTGTGTTTCTGGAGCGACGGGGGAGAGGGCAATGCATTTGTATCGGGGGAGCGTAAGACCCGGGTTTGCCGGGACTCGGGTTCGCCATCGTTTTTTGACGACCGCGCCTCGGATTTTGACGAGGAGGAGTTTCGTGGGATGTCTGCAGCGGGAGGCCTCGTCAAAATGCAGGCTCGGCCTCGTCATTTTTTTGACGACCTCGTCGGGGATTTCCGAGTCCCCCGTACCCGGGTCTTACGTCTCCCCGAAATGCATTTGTAGGGCAAGAGCAAGCATGAGTAGTCCAATCGTCGGCAAGAGTAAACCTGAAGTCAGGGCTTCTCGCGAAGGGCGGCCGTAAGGATTGCCGTTGACCGATCAAGCGCGCCCGCCGAGCGTACGGGGATCTGGCCCCAGAAACAACGCTGCCCCCCCAGCGACCTTCAAGTTCCAGCCTACTTTATGGGCTTGGCCCCCAGGAAAAAAAAGTCGGGCCCCGAGAAAGGACCGAAACTGGGGGGGGGGTCGCGTGTCGGGCCCTGGGAGGCGATGCTCGTTCGACACTGTCTCGATACTTTGATGGGTTCTCGAATTTTTTTCTGGGATGTGGTCCGGAAGTACGATGGGAACAACGAAACCTGAGTCGTTGATTGACAGTCCTGGGGCACGCGGATTGGCCCAGGGGTCTGAGAGCGGCGCAAACCTTCGGGGCAAGTGTTCTTCTCCAGGGCCCGCTTCCTCTGTGCCGGCGCCGCCGCCTCCGCCGCCACAGATCCCGGCACCAGCGCTGGCATCGCCACCCGTCATCTCTAGTGGAACGAAAAATTACATAAGCATAAAAACTCGGAGGTCCGCGCGGGTTTCTCGGATCCGCGCTGGGGCCCCCCGGCGGCGCCTGCGGCGCCGCCCCTGGCGCGCTCCGCGCGCCAGGGAGGGGGGTCCAGCGCCGATCCGCGAAATGCGCCCGGACCTCCGACTTTTTATGTTTGTGTCACTCTTCGTTCCCCTGAAGCCGTCCGCAGTCGCTCACTCCGCAGAGAGCTCACACCCCTGCGGTGCACACCGGGGCTTAGACCTTCCAGCCGCCAAGAGACCAGCGCCCCTCATTATGGCGGGAACGTCCGGTCCTCCTCCTCCTCCTCCTCCTCCTCCTCCTCCTCCTCCTCCTCCTCCTCACGATCGCAGCGCCGGGAGGAACAAGACGCCCGCCAGACCTCTCCCGGGGGAGAGTCCGCTTCGCTCGGCGGTTCGTAAGCTTGACTTTTCGCCAGAGTGACCCCTGGTGCGGGCCATTAGAGTCGGGCAGCATTGCGAACATCGCACATCCGCAGCTTGAGAGCTCTTTGGTTTCATCGATTCCCCTGCACTCGCCTGCGGGATTGGATCTGGACCCCCCCCCGCGGCCCCCGAAAGCCGCGCACCAGGGTGACCCAAGGTCACTTTGGCGTGTGGATGATTCACAGAGGACCGCTTCGGAAGGTCTGCCGGAGCGGGTCTGCCGAAGCGGCCCTGGCCGAAGCGGACCTCTGCCGACGCACTTCTGCCGAAGCGGGTGATCACCGCTTAGTTAGCAGATCCCCACGACCCCCTGGCCACGGTATCTCAGTCCCACCAGCCCACCACCCCAGTGGGGGATAGGCCACGCGAAGCCCGCAGGTAACGTCCTGCATCCCCATCTAGGATTAAGGTGGGCATGTCCCTCCACAGGAGGAAGATCCAAAAGAAAGTCAAACAATTGTCTGGGGACGATGTTTCGACTATGGTTTTACCTCGTTTGAGTCTTCTGTGAGTATGTTTAATTATCCGTCCAAGATCCGCCTGTAGGGGGCCATGCCCGACCTACATCTGGGAGGGTGTATGCCCGTGGGGCCCAGGCCAAGCCAGTGTCGGCGGTGCGCCCGGGGGGAAGGGAGGGCGGGCAGCCCTGCTCAGAAGGCGGCGAGGACTTCTCTGAAGCCCTCTGGCCTTCCGAGAAGCCGTCTCTGTCTTCGTGGAAGGCTCCGAACGTTTCTCAGGAGGCCCAGGGCATCTCTGGGGACCGAAACATGACATAAGCATAACAACTCGGGGGTCCGCGCAAATTGCTCGCATCGGCGCCGGGGCCCCCCGGCGACGCCTCCGGCGCCGCCCCTGGCGCGTTTCTACTTTCGAGCCCCCTGGGAAGGCACACCCCCGCGGAACTCCCCTCATTGGCTCGCCGCTGGCCCTGGGGATGGGAACCAGACAACCGAGAATCGCGCTCTGACCGGGATGTCGGGACGACGCCAGCCACGCAGACCTGGAGATTGACACCAACACCAACATCGGCGGTGTGCCTCCACCGAGGGAAGAGGGTCCCGATCTCGGCGGTAACGGACATATTCTGGCTTCCAAGGTGGCCGAAATGTTAATTACCACCGACACCGAAATCCAGGACCATCTTCCCCCCTATGGAGGCAGACCCCCTGTGTTGGTGCTGGTGCCCATCCCCAGGCCTCCCACAGCCGTGGCGACCAGAGCGCCGCTCGCCGCTGGCGCCGCCGGCGAGCACGGCGGAACTCCCCTCACTGGCTCGCCGCCGGCCCTGGGGATGGGGACGAGACGGACGAGAATCGCGCTCTGACCATCGGGCGAGAATCGCCACACGAGACGAGCGAGAATCGCGCTCGACGAACGAGGCGAGCGAGAAGCTCGAGACGACGCCGGCCGTGGCGACGAGGGCGCCGCTCGCCGCGGGCGCCGCCGGCGAGCACGACGGCCAGCCGCCGCGGAGGCACCGCCGGCCGGCCGCGGCGGCGGCGCCGACGCCCCCCGGGAGGGGGGGCGAAGGGCGGGGGCCGCAGGCGGAGGCGCGGGAGCTGCGGCGCGAGCTGTCGGAGGAGCGCGGCGCGGCGGCGCGGCGGGCGTCGGGCGACGACGACGACGACGACGACGACGACGACGACGACGACGACGACGACGAGGACGAGGACGACGACGACGACGACGACGACGACGACGACGACGACGACGACGACGACGACGACGACGACGACGACGACGACGACGGAGGAGCGCGGCGCGGGCGTCGGGCGACGACGACGACGACGACGACGACGACGATGGTCAGTATGGTTCCAGGCCTCCGAGGTGGGTCGGAGCAGATGGGGGCAGGGGATCGCGCCGAAGCGCCGATGCATCGGCGATGCGGCGCGATGCGGAGCCCGATTTTTTTCTCCACGCCGGCGTCGCCGATGCATCGCCCACGCCGACTACGCATCGCCGGTGCATCGCCGATGCATCGCCGATGCATCGCCAATGCATTGCCGATGCATCCCCAATGTATCTGCGATGCGGCGCGATCCTCCGACCCCGTCTGCTCGGACCCTATCTAGGAGGCCTCTATTGGTTGGACCGAGGTCTACGATCGAGGTCGGTTTTGGGGAGGTGACCCTAATGTTTTTCGTATCTGTTGGGTGTTCTTGCGCATTCTGGGGGGCGGGCACACTTGTTTGTGCTGTATGAACTGGCTGGACGAGAGTCTCATGTCCTTGAAAGATGTATTTTTGCCCCAGGTCCGGCCGTACCATTTGACCGACCCCCTATCCCCATCCCGAGCCCAACGATCTCAGCACCCCAGATGGGAATGCACCCCTCGAACCCCTGAAGGGAGCACCCTATATTGATGATGTTCAAAGTACCGGAGCTTGGAGGCTTTCACGTGTCGGGCCATTGGAGGCGATATTCGTTCGACATTGTTTTGATACTTTTCTGGGTGCTCGAAATTATGTCTGGGACGTGGTCTTTGAGTACGACTGGAGCAATATAGCCCTATATCCCCATCCAGGGAGGTCGGTCAGCCAGTGGGGCCAAGGCCATGCCAGTGTGGAGAGAGATCGGTTGAACGATGCTCGGGGCGGGCGGCCAGCAGCGGGGCGGAGGGGGGGGTAGGGGCCAGGTCAAGTTAGCCAGCTCGAACGAGCCAGAGGGCTCCGTCCACTCCCACCCGCCCTCCCACAACATGACAAGCAAGTGCGTCGCGTCCGACGCCTGTCGCTCATCTTATATCGTGGGCGGCCTGACGTTCAGCGCGCGACACGAGCTGCGTCCTACTCCTGCCGCGTATGGAGCAACGTCGACGAGAAACCACACCGCGCACGATGTACGCCGCGCCTCGCTCCGGCCTCTCATGTTGCATCGTCGGCGACAACATGTCCAGCGCGCGACGTGCGCCGCGTCTCATTCCAGCCACGCGCGTTGCACCGCCAAGATTCGCAGCGCCGATGAGGAGAAAGTGCATGTTGGCAAGAAAACGTCGACGTTGCGGTGTTTTTTGACAAGTAGGACGGGGGGTCCCGCGTAGGGTTGGCCAGGTGTCCGCGCACGATGCGCGCCGCGTCCCATTCCCGCTACGCGATTCGCAGCGCCGGCGAGGGGAAAATACATGTTGGCAAGACAAACGTCGACGTTGCTGTGTTTCTTGAAAGGTAGGACGGGGGCTCTCGCGTAAGGTTGGTCAGGCGTCCGCGCGAGATGCGCGCCGCGTCCCATTCCTGCTGCATGTTTCGCTGGGCCGACGACACAAAAGTCCATGCTGACGGGAAAAGCATTGACCTTGTATTGTTTTTGATAGGTAGGACGCGACCACCCGTTTAGGGCTCCCAAGCCATGTCCATTCCGTCCCATTCGTGCTACATTTGCCGCAACTCGACGACATGCTGGCGAAACAAACTTTGAGTTTGTATGGCTTCCTTTTGGACAGTTAGGACGGCAGGGTTGGCATCGGCTGGCTAGGTAGAGATGTGGGGTTTTTAATCATAAAAAGTAAAGGTGGGGGGGGGAGGTTCCTCCTCATGTTTGCCTCCCTCGTCATGTGATCGGGGTGGGGTGAGGGGGTGCCCCAGGATGGTTCTCTCGGATCGAGTGGCGCCGTGACGCTGCGGCAGTTGACTTAAGTCTGGCACGTCCTTCTACAGGAGGAATATGAATTATCCTGGCGAAGGACCCAACCATATGCAATTGTGAAAACTGCAATTGTGAATATCTTCTCGGTGGAGCCCCCCACGGGGCCACGAAACGTACGAGGGGTGTGCCGAAATGGGTGTGCGGGACGCATTCGGGCACACCCACTGGGGCCTTCGGTGGAGCTGCGGGACGCATGCGGGCACACCCACTGGGACCTTCGGCGGAGCTCCCTATGGGGCCACGAAACGCGTGAGGGGCGTGCCGAAATGGGTGTGGGTGGCGCATGCGGGCGGGGGCACTGGGGCCTTCGGCGGAGCTCCCTATGGGGCCACGAAACGTGTGAGGGGTGTGCCGAAATGGGTGTGGCTGACGCATGCGGGCGCGGGCACTGGGGCCTTCGGTGGAGCTCCCTATGGAGCCACGAAGCGTGTGAGGGGTGTGCCGAAATGGGTGTGGCTGATGCATGCGGGCGCGGGCGCGGGCACTGGGGCCTTCGGTGGAGCTCCCTATGGAGCCACGAAACGTGTGAGGGGTGTGCCGAATTGGGTGTGGGTGACGCATGCGGGCGCGGGCACTGGGGCCTTTCGGTGGAGCTCCTATGGGGCTACGAAACGCTGTACTGGGTGGGTGGAACGCAGGGCGCTGTCTCTTCAAAACGAGGACCCAACACCACAGGATGGTTGGGAAAAAATAGACAGCAGATAGTGCGGGGACGATTGTTTCACTATGTTTGACCATGTGTGTTGTCTCTTCAAAATGTTTGTCCCAAGTCCGCCTGTCGGGGGACACGCCCGACATAACAGTAGACCCCCGCGACAGGTGGCGAGCTACCCCCCAGCCACTCCTGAGTGGGAGGTGTCGCTGAAGGGGCCGTGCCCGCGGCCCCACCCAACGCTTATCCAAGCCACAAGCCACCACCACCCCCTCCCCCTTCCTCTTGCTCCCTCGCTCCACTGCGTACTCCTTCCTCCGGCTCAGTCCACAGGCACGGGCCAGGCTGCAGATTGTCCTCCGCAGGGGCCCCTCACCTGCAGGGCCTGCTCAGGTAATTAGGCGCTCAACCAGGACGCACGCTCCCGATGGGGGGGGACTACCATGCGTCCTCCCCCTTCCTCCTTCTCCCCCCACAGAATTTCCCCTTTGCGGCTCCCCCCCCCGTTTCGCTGGGGAGGGCCGCGGACGCCTCCGCGGACTCCCCTCTGGCAGCGGGGCACTCTGGCCAGGAGGAGGAGGAGGAGGAGGAGGAGGAGGAGGAGGAGGAGGAGGAGGAGAGGAGGAAGGGGGGAATGGGAGGAGGAGGGGAGGAGGAGGAGGAGGAGGAGGAGGAGGGGAGGGGGAGGAACGGAAGAGGAGGGAGAGGAGGAGGAGGAGGAAGAGGAGGAGGAGGAGGAGGAGGAGGAGGAGGAGGGGGAGGAGAAGGAAGAGGAGGAGGATGAAGAGGAGGAGGCGGCGGAGAAGGAGGAGGAGATATGGCCAGTCGCCAAGAAGGTAAAACGGCACGCGTAAACTTAGCATAAATTTTGGGAGTTCCGCGCGGAGTTCCTCGATCGGGACTGGGACCCCCCCGGCGGCGCCTCCCACGCCGCCACTGGTGCGCTCTGCGCGCCAGGGAGAGGGAGCTCCAGCGTAAAAGACGACGATCCATGGAAGAGGAGGCATGTTCCAAAAATTCCAGACGTAAAGAACATGTTTAAAGCACGCGATGATATTTTAAGCATTACCCGAACCTGTTTCCAAACATGTGAAACACATGCTTCATTCACACATCGGATTGTTAGGGTGTCCACTGCCATGGCATCCAAAACTCCAGCGCGGACCCAAACATTTCGCGACGACCTCCAACGTATTCTGTTTACGCCGCTTGCTCTTCCCCGCAAGTCCGCGTGGCAGACACCGTTTGCGAGGGGGCGCTCACGGCCGTGTGTCTCGGAGACCCCTCGTCGCACCATGCGCCCGTCTGGCGATCGGCGTCACGACGACCGCCTCCGCCTCAATCTTGAGTCCTCGCGTCATCCCGCCCTCCCTCCACCCTACTCGTCGTCGTCCCTCCGACTCCTCGCCCTCCGTTTCCCCTTCCCCTCTGCCTGGTGTTCCGGCCCCGCCTCTGTCCGTCCGCTTTTGCTGCCCCTCCCCGTCCCTCCTCCTCCCCCATGATTCTCGGATGCAACTCCTGGGAGGTCAAATTCTGATGTAGCCCTGGTCCGAAATCCGGCTTAATCCGGCTTAATCCCGCTTGATCTGGCTTAATCCCGCTTAATCCCGCTTAATCCGGCTTAATCCTGCTTAGTCCGAGGCCCATTCTGGCGTAACAGCTTTCAAATAGGGCTTAATCCTCCTTATTTTTTCCAACGAAAACCTCCCAGTAGTTGCCTCCTAACATGATTCTGGGGCCGTGGAGGGCGATCCGAGTGTGGCCCCGCACCCAGATACGCCGCGAGGTGCTGTCTTGACTTGCTGTGACCTCGGAGGCGGGCTGCGTTGGCGTTGGTCATCGACCCTCGGCGAGTCTGCCCAGACCTCTGAGCCGCGCGGTTGGCCGATCCTCTCCCCTCCTTCCACAGAATCCTCCTTCATCCTCCACAGAATCCTCCTTCATCCTCTCCACAGAATCCTCCACAGAACCCTCCTTCATCCTCTCCCGCCCCCCTTCCCCCCTCCATGCCGCCCTCCCCCGCCGAGGCTGCCCTCAGGAGGAGGAGGAGGAGGAGATGGAGGAGGAGAAGGAGGAGATGGAGGAGGAGGAGGAGAAGGAGGAGGAGGAGGAGGGGGAGGAGGAGGGGGAGGAGGAGGGGGAGGGGGAGGGGGAGGGGGAGGCGGAGGAGGAGGAGGAGGACTTCGCCAACTCTTTACAGGTTGCTGTTGCACAGGCCCCGTGGTGCAGCACAGAGGGCACCATGTTGCCACTTCATACTAGCACTGCTGAGCCCTTGACTCTGCCC